CGCTCTTCCAGCAAGAACTAGTTCACGTGGGCTGACCTTCTTGTGAAGACGCGGCCCCTGGTCTATACAGAGGACTAGTGCTTATCTTGTTACACAGCTGCACTAGAGTGCTCTTTATTGCTGAAAGTAAAATAAAAATCTTGCCTTTTTGTAAGAAGTTGGTAAAAACTGTTAAAATCGACTGAAGTATTTATTTACATTGTTTTACTTTTTTCTTCACCCTCAAGCAGACAGCTCATAATTACTCTTATTTGTGTTTATAGGTTAGCATGGCCTCACTGAAAGAGTTGGACCAAAGACTCTTTGAAAACTACATTGAATTGAAGGCAGACCCCATCGTTGGCTCCTTAGAACCTGGAATTTACGCAGGCTACTTCGACTGGAAGGACTGCCTGCCCCCGACAGGTGGGTGGTTTGAAGTTACTGAAGTCTCTAGATGCATCCAGAGGGGTAAATATGGATTTCCTTTTCTCAGTACAGGCTGAAGATGCTTTTCTTTTTATTCCCTTTTTTTTTTCATGTTTACTGAGGGGTTGATTTAAATTTTTATTAGCTTACCCATTTTTTGATAGCTTGGGGTTATTAGTACTTAAAATGGTTAAAGATATTCTTAAATTCCACAGAATAATTAATTACACCTCATAACGTGTGATCATCTCAGTAACGCACACTTGCTTCCTATGATATTTCTTTACTGCATAGAAATAATAGACTGTGAGTGACAGTTTTATGCAATGACCTTGCAACCTTCATCAAAAAATTTACGTAAGATGTTCGGTCACTTCTATGGAAGACCCAGTTACTGATGCCAAAAAGGTGAAAGATACACGGGAAGCGTATGGGAGTAAGATTATTATAATAATTTAGCAAAGAACTAAACTGGAGAAGGACGGCTGACAGTCCAGGGTTATCGTTTTGACATCAAATGGAGTCACTTAACTCACTTCATAATGTATATTTTAGAACTAATCTGTTGCTTGTTGAATGAAATAAACTTTTTGATTTGATCAAATAGTTGTTTCTCTGTATGAAGCACTGTAGAATACATAAAGCCAAGCAACCTACTGACATCGTTACGTCGATGTAGCGTGATGTGGAAATGGTTCTGTTCTTATTAGGCGTCGGTTCTTCGAGGCGAGTGTGGCCGTACCAGTGACCTGCTGGCAGGTTGTTACCTTTGTTCTTTCAACTAATTGTTGTGATCACCTGTCATTTTTGTTGTGTGATGCTTTTATTAGATGGTGATAACATTGTTTGCTCTTTAATACCTTTGGTTTTTATTGTTATTTTTCACATTAGGGGTAACGATACAGTGATGCCAGAATTCTAAGCTAAGAGCCAGAATCATTAAATCAGTAATATTTTATGTGACTGCAGGTATTTAATTCCTGAAATCACCGTCATTATAGACATGCGAGCCTTCTGCTTACAGCTGACCATAATTGATCTTTTTCCTGTAATGCCATGACTCTTGTGTACCCATGTTTTTCTGTGTCCAAACTGGATTACAGTTCACATCCCAAATATATCCTTTTACAGTTTAAGTCAGAGCCTGTCAGTAACTTGCTTAAAATTTTTGCGGCATCTTCCTGCTCACTCGCGGTAAAATCCACAGAGCGGGCAGCGCTGAGTCCGGCACCCGCCCCCTGCGGCCCCTCCAGCTGCCTCCAGCACACTGGGCCTCTTGTGGCCCGGACTTCCCACATCCTCCCCCAGGTCCTTCCCTTTGCTTAGACAGTAATCCTCCCTCATGCGTCCTTTTGTCCTCAGGCCTCTACTTAAATATCAGGACACCAGCCATCCACCCTGCAGAGGTGACACAGCCAGTGGAGAGTAGGCATGGCATTTTAGATTAAACCTGTGGGAATTACGTGTATTTTATGTGTAAGATAATTATCTACAAGGGAGAAGGCTGTACATGTGGTTCCAGCACCTGCCTTTATGTTGGTTGAGTTTCTTAAAGCCAAATCCATGAGGTTGTGGGTAGTGGTCAGTTATCCAAGGTGGGTGATGAAATGCACCTTCTGTGTAAGCCGGGTTCCTGACTCCACGTGAACAGACCTCTGGAACTTTTGAACTCAACAGCCTCTGGAACTTTTGATCTACCATCCTTTTCAAAACTCTTGGGCTAGATGATTTTGGGAGTTTCAGTATCTTTGGACTTTAGGAAGGTAACATAGTGCACATACCACATATTATTTTATATCCCCAGTAGAGATCCCTGCAGAGAAATAGGTGAATATTAGATTAGGGGTGATAACAAGATCCCTATCAGTTCAGGTGAGACATGCCACCACAAAAGTTTTATCACGAATTTGCAAATTCACAAACAGAGGATCTTGCCTCCCAGGTTCTATGTCTCCCCTGTCTAGACTCCAGCATGGTGCGTGGTGCCTGCTCGTGAAGATTTGTTCAGTAACTGGGGACCCCTTGCAGCTCCCATGGAGCCATGCCCGTGTCCTCGCTGCCCCCACCCCTCACTCCCGGCGGGTCCGTGCCTGCTCTGCTCGGGGCCCCCTCCCACTCAAGTGCTTTCCCAGGAAGTTCCCCTGTGTGAGCAAGGTTGTTTTCGGGTCCTTTTAATCTCTCTTGTAACTCTTCAGTACACGAAGGTAATAGATGTAGTTCTGTATCTGTTTTTTATTTCCCTGTTTTGGGGAAATTTTTAAACAAAGGTGTGAGGAGATTCCTTTCACATTCCCAGACTTCTCATCATTTAAGTTTTTTATAGAGCAGTGACTGAAAGGTTCAGAATTCCAAGGGTCAGATCACAGAATGTTTTTCAATAAAATCTCCATTTTCTCCTCAAGGGAACAATACCCAGTAATCAGCTGTGGTCTGTGCTTGGCCCGTAGCCTCTGCAGACCAGCCTGGCTATTGCTTCCCCTTGGGGGCCTCTCTCCTTCCCCTGTGACATGTATGAATTACCTCACATGGGCCCTGCTGCACCAAGCTCTTGTGCAGTTAACCAATCCCCAGTTCACAAATGAAGGAGTCGTTATACAGCAGGCCCTGCACACGTGCACACATGTGTGCACACACTTGCACAGATGTATGTACACATGCACACACATGCACATCCTAAATGTTTTAACTCCTTGCAAACAGTTTCAGTCATTTGTGTGCCTATAACACCTGTGCCTCGCCTATGATTATCACTTAATACTTACTACCATCTTCTAAATTTCAACTATCCTAAGACACAAATTACTTATTACCTCCTGAGGGTCGGGGAGGGGTGGTTAGGACATCAGGCACTGAACCCTAAGCTCTGGTCCCCCTAACTGTACTCACAGCCCCGTCACGCCCCTCTTTACAGCCTAGCTTCAGAAAGTCGGCTGGGTGGTTCCTCAGAGATTCCATGTGAGGCCCCGTGTCCTCTCGTGTCCTCCCAACATCTCCGGCACCCCTGTGACTCCATCTCTGTGCCGTGGCTGGGTCCGTGGACACGCTCGCTCTTGTGCTCCGTGACCGGAGTGCTCCCGGGCTGCTTCCTCTCCCTGGGAGAGATGGCCCTCCTGCGGGCCCTGTGGTCCCACTGCTGGTGGGCGGCCCTCAGTCTCCTTCCCCTGCCTGCCTTGCACCTGGCGTCCCCGGGACGCTGGCTTCCTCTGGACTTGCTAGTCTTTCCTCGGACTCTGCCCTTCCCACGCCTCCTCCGGGGGCTTTCCTGCCCTCCCCGCCCCCCGGCCTTCTCTTGAGTCCTACACGTGGGCGGTCACTGTGCCCCCGGCTCCTGTGCTGCGAGCTGAGGGTGGGAGTTCACAGGTTACAGCCTCAGTGACGTGCGGGTCATGCCTCAGTTTATCTTCTGAGTACTTGCTCTGTGGTTCACAGTGATTTTTCTCAGTTGTTTTTCTGATAGGAAAGTAAATCGTGATGTTCTCGTTTCCATTAATCTTCTTGTTCACTTTTTAATAAATAGTACACGGTGGGTGTTCATATTTGTTTAACCGAAGTGAGCATGTTAGCACTTGCTTCCTTGTGGAAGCTTTGTGCAATCCCTAAATCTTGAGCAATTGCATTTGAATTAAAACATGCATGTCAGGGATACCTGACACGTGAGCAGTTCTGCGCAGCGTCGCTGTGCTCTTCAGGGACAGTTGAGGTGTGTCTGGCTCAATCCTTGTGAGGACGAGGGTGTGGGAAGGGCAGTGCCAGGCTCTTAGGGTCTTGGGTCCCACTGCCTCCAGGTGGGTGACTGACTCAGACTGTCCAGATCCTGCCTTGAAGGGACCTGGGGTCCTTTCTGTGCCACTTCCCATCTTCCCAGCCCTCGGCGTGAGTGATGATGGATACAAAATGATGTCATCATTATCAGGGCCACTTTTCATACAAAATTAAGCTTCTGCTGGCCTTGTGGCATTGAGGCCTGTGGCTCTGTCTTGCAGATAAACTTCCAGAGCAGACGCACACACCACTGCTTTGCCAGCCATTCATTTACCATTTCTCTGGTTCCAAAGCCTCTTAGAAATTGTTGGTTTTGGTTTCACTTTTATAAACTGTATTTAGTTCTGTTCTTGGTGTAGCTTTGACTTCGTGATCCCCAACTAAACTTCAGTCTCGCATAGTCATATAGTGATTTTTAGTTTCTTTAAAGATGACTGAAGTTTTGAGACCTCGTGTAAGGTGAACAGCCAAAATAGTTTGACTTCAGTCTTCCAAAATAATTTCAATTAACAACTTTAGTATTATCTTCAGAATTTTCATCTCCAAAATTTCATCCAGAACTGAATTTTACAAATCACATAGGTAAACGATTGTTTATTGCAGTAGTTAGCAATAAATTTAGTTTCTGATACTGTTTGTGGTGATTTTTTTAAAAAATCCAGTTGATTAATTTCACGATTCAAGAAGAGATATTCGTTAAAGCCATAGCTATGCTTTTTTTTTTTTTTTTTTTTTT